ACTCTAAGATTCCATATAACATATACAATCAAGAGCTGTTTGAAAACGTATTAAAAGTCCGTACTTCATATGGACTCAAAATATAAAGCAAAACATTAAGATGTTGATCCACAGAAATATATTTTAATAGTACTTTTGAAAGAAGAAACACAGATTCTGGATTTCATATAAATAATAATCAGAGATTCTGGGATTTATTAAAACTGTAGTTTCTCATCAATTCTTGATTGCCCTGGATATGAAATCCTACCTGACATACAAAAATGTCAGTAGCTTATCAACCACTCTGATACTTGTAGAAAGAACAGCAGTTCTGTAGGCGACTCTACAGTTCATCCAATGACTTCCTGTTTTTACTTCCCCTCAATACTTTCAGTGAATAAAATGGATAGTGTCTTTCTGTTTTTCCATTAATCAACACATCTTCAAGTGGGCAGCAGTACGTTAAGGAGTACTCAACTACCCTCCTCTATTTTATCTACACACAGAAGTCAGATGCGCCACTATACAGCAAAGTGGTGTTGTACTAGTACTACCTGCAGATGCTGCAAAAAGGTAATTTTTCCATGACTGGTTTTAAACTCCAGCGACAGGCTTAGTCAAATCTACTGTTAAGTGGTTGTTCATCAAACAAATAGGGAACATGATACCATGAGGAAAAATTTATCAAGAGGCCAATAATTACTGTATAACCTGCAATATTTTTAGGCTGTCACAGGCTTCATTGGATGGGAAGAACCAATGGATACAGCCAGCTAGCAGGCAGTATTAACTGGCAAATTCATTTGGCAGTAGTGACTTACAGCCAATAAAGAACACCCTGTTCTCCATCTAACTTTTTTCCCCTGTGCTTTACCTCTCTCTGTTGAAAACTTGAGCATATTAGCACTGTGTAATGGCACCTGTCAAAAACTGAAACCTTCATTTTCTGATGTATAAAAGTTAAATAAACATACGATGAAAAATAATTAGGAAAATGCTTTAGGATTAATTTTTGTTAAAATACAAACCATTTTTTCTTGCCATCAATTAATAGTTTTTTGGGGTATCATTCAGTGAGCATTCTCTCAACTCCCAAGAGAAATACTTTTTTTAAAAACTAAAGTAGTAAGTGAAAAAATCTTTCCAAAAATGTTAAAAAAGTGTACTTCTAAAAATGTTTTATCTTGCACTTATCTTTTTAGTATCTTACCAGGATTAATCTTGAATAGAATGTTTTTTGGCTTAGATTTGCACACACCAATCAAGCTCAGGTATATTTGGTGAAAAGATTTTGTCTTCAAACCTGTAAATTATTTTTTCTAGTCTGCAGGCTGTGGACTAACCTCCGCTGGTGATATCAGCCAGACTCACTGACATGAAGAGCACGGGGTGAGTGGTTAAGAGGCTGATGTGTATCATGTAGATGCACCTGTTCAGTCAGATGAGTCCAACTTGGCATCAACAAGCCATCAAAAGTACCCTCAAGGCAGGAATTCATCACTCTCCAAGCCTGAATCTCAGAGATATACTCCAACAAACACAAAGTGTCCCACGTTCTTTTTCTTTCTGCAGGAAACTTCTCAAAATCATACCGAAGTTCAGCTCACACTTCAGAAACCAGCAAGGCACCTGGGACTTACTACAGCCAGCCCCGCATCCCAGGACTCTTGCCAGCATTGCCTTGCTTGGCAAGATGTGGAAAGATAACTACACCCCAAAGGGGTACACCAGCCAAATTTCTGCTGTGAATGCAGGCACTGGAAGAAAAGAGTTGTTTGGTTTTTTATTTTATTTTATTTTATTTTATTTTATTTTATTTTATTTTATTTTATTTTATTTTATTTTATTTTATTTTATTTTTTAATGAAATGGTCACAGCAGCAAAAGACCAAATACAGAAAGAGCAAAATATTTTCCCAGGAGGACACAACCAATATCAACCAAAATGACTTTTCCTGCTGCACTTGAAGCCACAGTACGACTATTTGCTGGTATGCAAAGCTAAGTGATGAAGATCTTACTGTAGGCAATGATACAGGTATCATAGCAATCCAAAGCACCAGCTATGGACCATAGCTCCATCCCTGTAAATGTTATCTTTGTCCTGGTTTAAGAGATGACAGCCAAATGATGGTTGACTAAGCTGCCGGAGCCTGAAAATTGTGAACCCTTTGTAGACTTTACAGGTAGAGGAAGTACTCAAGAGCTCCAAAGTTGACCAATAAAGTAAATCCAGAAATGTCAGAAGGGAAGATAAAAGCAAGGAAGACCAATAGAACAGAATTTATGCTTGCCTCAAAACCAAGTGAGTAAAATCAGAGAACGGCACTAAGAGGTCCAAAGTCCTGGCCAGTCTCCTCTGAATCCAGCATCCTGAGGATAATTCTCGGTCAGCACTCTGATAAAAATTGGGAAATGTTCTTTGGGGACCAGAGAAATTGGGAAATGGGGACCAGAGAACAGAAAAGCCACTTTTATTTCGAATTGACGTATTGCAGCCTGATTCTCCTGGAATTGATTTTCTTTAGTGCAAAGCCACCACATCCTGCCTGAGAAAGCTGAATTACTGTCATCTCCTCTATAAAGGTGTTTTGAAGCCTAGGGGAGGTTTAAGTAGTTGTCTAGCTAAATAAAGGAGAGAACTGGTGAAAAACTATGGAAGGCTACGCTCAGCTATCTCTTGTGCAACAAAGTCGCTGTACAACAACCCTCCTGACAAATACAAACCTTAATAGTGTTGAGATAAGGGCTCCTGGCTGGAAAAGATACCAGAGGAGAGACAGAAAAAGAAAGGGCTTTAAGATCATCTTAAATAAAACTGATTCTAGTTCAAGGCAGCATTACCTAGCCTTACTCCCGATGAGTTAATCAATGCAAAGCCATAGCAAAGGTGAAGCTTCCCAGGGAGTCAGGAGGTCCAGGTGAACGTTGCCTCTCCCCACGTTGCATCCTTCATCCCTTCTCACCCTCCAAAAGCCACAAACAGACACAAGAAGGGAGCTGCAGGCAAGAGGATTGAAGACGAAAAGCAAGAACCAACAACCACAGGCTCAGAGCTTTCACCTCGAGGACATACGTGGCGTTAGACCCGTCTTGTATGACCGTCCTCACAAATATCCCCTTTCATCCTGGCCTGGAAAGCCGTGCTAGGGCCAGTCCATCTCCAAGGGGCAGGGCAGGCAGCGAGCATCGGTATGAAGCACAAAGGTTTGCCAAGGAGTGTGGGATTTGGGGGGAGCAGGCGGTGGAAAAGGAGATGAGATAGCCCTGCGCAGGAGGAAGAAGAATATCATTAAGAAATAAAGGGCCACCAATGGGAGCAGAGGGGAATGTTTTAAAAAAAAAAAAAAAAAGGAGGGAAAAAATAATCAAAAGGCCTAAACATCCCCGGTTTGGTTGAGAAATTCACATAAAGACAGCTTTTTGGGAAAGAAAGACAAAGCGCTACCTTTTCTGGAATTCAGGGATACAGACGTCTCTTTTTGGGAATTGTTTACACCTGGACACCAGGGAGTGGATTGAACAGCCAAAAAAGACTGAGGTAACTTTGAAAAAATCCGTGTTGGGACTGTGGGTTTTGTTTTATATTATTTGTTTATTTAAATACTTTTTTTTTTTTTCAATGAACCAGCTAGTGTTTGAAGAGATTGAGCTTGGTGGGATCAAGGTACATTTTTAGGTTAGTGGTAGCACTATTTATCATTTTTAAGACAAATTTGATTACTCTGATGGGAATTCATGTCTTCGGGGAAAGCTGCCCAGTTGTCATATTAATCATTGCTTTTAGTGTTTTCATTAGGGTTTTGGTTTTTGGTTTAGTATGGGATATTCATTTTTTTTCCCCTTTTAATTTAGCTTTCAGTTGCCCCAGGGCTTTGGCCCGGTAACCTTTGCAGAGTGTTTATCCTTCAGTCCCCTTCCAGCCTCTGAATTTTATATAATATACATATTTATATAATATAATTTATATAATTATATTTAATTATATAAAAATTGTATTATATAAATATAATCTATATAATATAATTTTACTTCACAGCACTGCAGTGCCTAAAGATCTGTCACTCCTTCCACTGATGGCGAACCAGTGTCCAAGGGATTCTTTCTCGGAAGAAGAAGAAATTAAGAAAAAAAACTCAGAGCAAAAAATGAGCATTTACAGTTTCATCTGCGGAGCATGTTGTACTGATGTTCTTCCAAAGTACCTGTAGGCCACTATTGATATATTCTTCTACTATGGTCACACCTCCATCCCGATGAATGACAGTGGGACAAGTGCACCCAGGAAAACTGAGGCAGCTGCAGGAAATTCAGATCAGGCAATTCATCCCCAGTCACCTTGTGAGGATGAAAGGAATCCGTGGAGGATCCTGTCTCTTTGCCCAGATGATTGAGAGTGCCCAGATCTTTCCTTGGAAACACATATCTACATTTTAGACAATGAAAGGAAAAAAAAAAATCCCAAGTTAAATGAATTACACCCCCACAGTGTGCCACCCTCCAGAGATAAGTGCTAGAGCTGAGCAGTAAGGAAGTTTTAGATAACAATTTTACAGCTAGAGCAGCAATTTAATTGAAATCACAGCATTTTCTGGGAATGCCAGAAAACATCACTGGGAAAATGCTGAAACAGATTGAGTCTATTTTCCCATTTTGCTTCAATGATGTTTCAATACTTGCTTTTGATAAAGAAAATGCATCCGTTCCCTTTATCATTTTTATTCATTCATCTTTGACTCGTATTTTACAAGCTGCTGCTTTCAAAATCACTCTACATTTCTTAAAATATATTTCACTTTAAGACAAATTATATTGTTGTGGCATTTTCGAAACAAAACCATTCTCTATTACCAAAGAGAAGCAATTCAACATTCTCATAGCCGACTAGGTCAGCACTATCAAAATGAAATACTTAGATAGTCTGGGATATCAGCATTTTGTAATTTTTTTTCCTGTAAAAAATGTTACCCTTTGGAGCAGAAACCAG